TTGCTGAATAACAATGGGCCGTGAGAAAGCTTTTCACTCACCACCTCCCAGCTGATACCAGCCACAACCCATAATTACTTTAGCAGACGGTTATGGGTGCTACATGTCTGGAATGATGTTGCAGTAAGGTTGCAGAGAGCTTTCGATGATATCTCAGTCTTAGAAAGGTTTTTGCAAGCATGCTGCAAGGTCTGCTGGTAAATAAATTAAGCTTATTAAATTGAAACACGCTCAATATTATTTACCTGGAGAACTACCAAGCTTCTCACAGGAACGTTTACATTCATCAACACGCTTCAGGTGAGTTAGGTGGTTGCTCTAGTCTAGAGGCATTTAATTAATCCAAAGCAACAGACTAAAAAGACTTTTACACTGTATTTCAAATAAATTGTTCTGTTCATCAAAGAATCCTGAAAAAACGTATCACAGTTCCCCAAAAACATAAAGCAGCACAAATGCGTATAACCTAGATAATAGTAAATTGTGTTTCTCTAGCACCAAATCAGCATATTAGAATAATTTCTGAAGGATCATGTCATTAGGATTAATGGCTGCAGAAAATTCAGCTTTGCCATCACGAGAATAAAATTAGAAATTATATGGTAAAGCATTTAAAATATATTTATTATAGTTATAGTTATTACATTTCTAAGTTTTCCATGACTTTGGGAAACATGAATTTTAAAATGATAGTTTCACACTCTAATTCTAGAATTCTAATTCTAAAGACTAGCATATACTAAAGAAAACATTTCACGTCTCACGATACATCTAACAGCTTTTACCAGGAAATACAGTTTATCATATGCTTCTGCTGTATATGCTTTTACTAGAACTCCATATGGCAACACATATGTAGATTATTCCTCACATTAATCCACCAATGTGAAAATGGGGAAGATAATTAAATATTCATTCGTGATTTATCTAAAATTAACGAATTTGTTAACCCCAGATATACACTGCAGAACAGACACCAAATTTCATTTGATGAATGAAAATCAGGCTGTGTTTGGGATGCAAGTACAGTAAACCACGTTCAATACCACTGTTGTCATGTTTAATGGATGTTGATCGCTCATCCAATGAGACATTGAAAACACTTCTTGTTCATTCAGCCGAACGATCAACAATACGGCATAATTGAACATACTGTAGCAGTCTCTGTTTTACTGGCGTCAAATTGAATATGGCATTTACATTGACTAAAGTCTATAGCTGGATCAAATCCAACGCCTCTTGAAATCTTTTATAAGCTCAGTTACTAACTTCACTCTCAGTCATTGTGGATTTGCACAATACAGTCCATATTATTATATTTAAGTCTATATTATAAAATGCATGGTGACTGAGTATAATCCAGCGGTTGCCCATCACTAGTTGTTGTGACAAGACAGGAGGAGGAGCAGCAATGTGGATTACAAAAGCACGGCAAATATGAGTGTGAGCATGTGTGTGTGTGTGTGTGAGTCGTTTGGGTATCTATTAGGATTACAGAAGCAAGACGTGTGTGACTCTGGAGAATATAATTCTGTCAGAGTCAGAGTTCTGCTATGGGGTCACCCCTCCTTGGAGCCATCTGCTTCCTCCTGCCTGTTAGTCTCAGGGCACTGAAGCTCAGAACTCAAACAGGCCCGGGGGACGAATGCACACACATAAATACACCGAAAATAACTAGACACTGGTGGTTAGGAACCAGGAAGTGATTCCTGAGTGCCAATCTGCTGGTGAAAATGGGAATTTAACCCCAAGCTTTTCCTGCGCAGCCTAGTGCTTCCCTGTCGGAGCATAGAGGAACCAATCAGATGATTAGGTTTGTGTAGCCAACATTGAGTTTGCTTGAATCCTACTGTATGTAGGGCATAGCATGCAAGGATGGTTCACAGAATATTCATTTTTGGGTGAACTATCCATATAAGTAAATGTTAAATCTCAAATTATTCCAGTTATGCATTATCGCCCCTAGCCAAATCATTATAACAGGGTTTTTCAGTCATAGAAAACAAGAAAGAATATCTGGAATATGCTATTGTAGACGTACAGACAGTCCAATCATTGTATTCAAGCCTAAAGTGCCGTTCCAGATGTCTGCTCTGAAATTTCCTATTCGCTGGGTGAGATTTTGCTATTCATTGTAGCCTTGCTGTGGTGGGCAACAATGAAGCAGAATGAATGAGAGCATTAGGCAGCCACAGAATCATGAAGTCAGAAGGCCAAAGAGTCAGAGAATCGGCTCTCGTCTCCTCACAGCAAAAAAAAAACAAAAAAAAAACAGTGAAAATGCACATTTCTCACATTGCAGAAAATCACACTTACTGTATGTTTGAATGTGTGGTGCCAGATATGAAGAGGAGTGAAAGAAAGAGATTCATTCATCTCTTCGACCCCGTTCACACCTGATTTTAACATCAATCTCTAGTGTGCAGCTCTAAATACAGGGGGCCAACGCATCTTGCGCAATCGGTTCACTGAGCACATTTGGAGGAGGTTGCCGACACACGTGGTCATGTTTATATAGTGTAAATGCTAATGTATCCAGTCAGCAAAAGACCACGTACTCATGTAACATGTAATCATTGCAAGACATGTTGGAGGCTTTTACAGTCTCTGCCAACAAGTTATAGCTTTAAAGCCAACATTAAACAAAGTCAGAAAATTCACAAATCCATTTGACTTCTGTAATATGATGTATTTATGAGATATTCAATGAGAAACACCAGGTAGGATCTGATTTTTACATATCTGTAATTGATTGGATCATGAAAAGGAGTTTTCCATACTGGAATGGAGCCAGAAAGCAATTGTGGATGACCACTTTCCTTCTAAAACACTTCAGGTACTCATTGGTTGAAATGTTAGTGGCCTTGATGATGTCAGCAGAAAAGCAAAGTTATTAAAGTGGTAGAGAAAGTTATATTTTGATTAAGGGCTATAAAAACAAACATTTTGCCTTTGAATAACACGCCCAATGAATTATATACAAAATGCCCAGGAATTTAAAGGAAAGAGGGATTTGATTTCATGCTGACTTCAAAGTAATATGAACTATCATTTTGCACATGCTTTAAAAAAGCGAAATGTTTACAAACTAAACTACATAAAACCTGTTTCTTTCTCATTTCACCATTGGGAATCACATCAGAACACACACACACACACACAAAAAACATCTACATTTGTAAGCTTTCGCACCTGACCTTTCACAAAGTTGGTACAGGCCTTTCCACTGGCACATTTCCAGACCTGCAGGGCTCAGCTCTATACCAGATCATCCACAACACACTTAGAACCTTCGGGATAAACAGTGTAATGCAATTTGACTGAATACCGCTCCGAGTGATTCTCTGTGGCCATCAATGACCTTTGGATGAAAATGTGTATTCCAGAACAAAAGGGAAGGATAGAGAGAAATCTAGAATGAAAGTGCTTACACTGTTGTTTCTGCTCAGAGGTCAGCAGCAGGGAAGTGAAAGAGAGAAAGAGTGAATGAACAATGGTGCGGCTCAAATGATGTGAGGGCATGTCAGTTTTAGTCAGAGCCAAGGGTTTGACCAGAAAAACAAAGGTCATTTCATTGCATGCCAAAAACCTATTATACGTTTCTTTGAGGGGTGGATGGTATAACCAAAATCTTATCTTAATCGTATCGTTTCTCCATCAGAGTAAAAATAAAAAATAAATAATAATAATTTTGAGATAAAATTTAAATTACAAAAAATTCAAACTATAAAATATAAATTCAATATTATGAGAAATAAAATCATAGCTATTTTATAGTGAGATTTTTTATTTTATAGTGACACAAATTATGGGAGGTAAAGACAATATTGCATGACAGAGACATACTGAAATACATAGTCGCAGTTATGAAAAGTAAAGTGAGATACATATTGTGAGAAAAAAGTTACAATTACAAGAGATAATAAAGTTGCAATTACAAGAAATAATTTGCAAGTGAGCTTATTGTGAATAAATAGAAAAGTAAAATAAATAGTAAAATAGTAAAAAGTAAAATAATTTATTGGCAATAAATAGAAAAGTAAAATAAAAATAAAAAGTGAAACCGATATAAAGTCAAATTTTAAGATAAAGATGAAGTAAATTGATAAAAAATTAAGTCAAGCTGTGAGATAAAAATTCACAATGATGAGATTTGAAAAGCTGAAAAATAGTCAAAAATCTCTCAAAAATTTGAGAGAGTTGAAAAGTAGTCAAAAATAGGTAATGGGATTTAAAGGCAGAATTGTGAAAAAGTTATATTGGGAGATATACAGTCAGAAATCTGAGAAATAAAGTTACAATTATGAAAAATAAAAAAGTCAAATTGTGCGATTGTCATATTGATAATCACCAGAAATATTTTGCTACTTTTAGATATAAAGTTGCAATTATGAGATAAATTCACAATTATGAGGAAAAAAAGTGCTTGTAAGGCCTTTTATTTATTTATTTGTGTGTTTTTTTTTTTTTTACTCTGAGGTGGAAACAGGCTTCCACATCATGCAGTAATGTCTATTTGATGATTTAATTAAAGGGTTAAATCCCTTTTCCTTTAAAGGGACTTCATTTGCTAATGTTTCAAACCTCACGTTTTTAATAGCATACAATGTTCCCATTTATACTGTGGTGTAAATGGCATAGCAGAATCTCTAACAGTTGCTACTGATATATCGTCCAACCTTAGCTCCTCTAAACAATGGGCTAATGTAATAAATTGGATGAGCACAGATCTGTATCTCAAGTGCCCGTCAGTCACGTTTCCTTAACGACGCAATCCATGAATGCAATCCAACTATAGTGGGTTGCATCAGATCTGACAGGTCGATCTGTGTCTGTTAGTTCTGCTGATCTCGAACTGATGCTGCGTCTCTGTATACTGCTGCGTCTACAATTGATTTTGTCTGCCATGACGAAGAAAGGAAACACGAACTTGCGTGTCCATGATGATAGGCAGGAAACCTGAATCACTATAAATAGAGAAAGACTAATTCAAAACTCACTGTTGTCCTTTCAGGAGATGAGCAGTGGAGGAAACGCTTCGGCTCTCACTGGTGTTCACGAGCTTAGCTGGAGATTTTCACTCGAGATCCTGTGAGGAAAAAAGAAACCGACAAAAGGGGGACATAAATATATTTGGATTTGGCTGTGTTGGAGATTTGTAGACTAATAACCGCTGGTTTGTAGGTGACTCGTGTTGGCAGGAAATGTGAACCGGCCGGTGACCCGTGACAGAGGAAGATTCAGAACTCACCACCGCTCAGGAAAAAAAATCCCTCTAACACTCGTGCTTTAAAAACACTCTCTCATAAACACACACGGCATAACTCTAAACAGGACCAGATGTTACTGCAAGGGAGCTGAACTCCCATCTGTGAGTGGAAAAACCAAAGCAACAGCAACTTTCTATTCATTAACCCGCTTCTGTCAAAAAATGGCAGGAAAATCATGGCGGCAATTTGTGTTTAATACGCAAGACATACTGCAACTCTATGCATTTCTATATGCATCTATCTATTCATCCATTAACCTCATGCAGTGCCTTCGATAGGGGAACATTAAACTTTAATAGAGGGGTCTTGCAGCACTAAAACAGAAAACAGTACAATTCGGAAGGACTGTGAATCACGGATTCAATTAACCAACTGTGGAATTCCATACTCCTGCATCTTTTAAAACCCCTGGTGAGGTTGGGGGGCGACTGGCTGGATTTCCCGGAAAACACATTCATGCAAGGCTATCACATTCTGACCGCAGTTAGCCCTGCGATCCGCTAGTGAGTTATCGCATGTGGCTCAGGCATTTATCCCTCTCACCCTTCTCTTTCCATCACTCACACCCCCCACGTCCCAGCCGGGGGGCTGATGGGTGAGGGAGGGGGGGACAGTCATTGCTCACAAGCCTGAATCTGGTGTCTGAACTCAACCATTTATTTTACGCTACAGAAGACAGGAGAAACAAAACAAACCATAGCGAAAGACACTACAGACAGATCGCTTTTCCAGAAAATATCACTGTCATCTGGCTAGCCATCTAGCAGTGCTGGCAAGTAATCAACTAGAATTAGTTATGTGGCTAACTTTTGTAGTAAATCCCGAAGTATTCTTTCGGTTTTTTACATGTACGCCAGGATTACACAATGTGGCGTAGATTTCATCAACAGCATAGCATGCACACAGCTCGATTTTTCTCATCATATGCAATTAATATTTCTCTCTTCAGGGTAGTTAGTAATTAAATACTGTAGCTAGCTGTGAAGTTAATTTATCGGACACACTAATGAACACAAGACACTGTAATATTTTAGGATAAATAAAGCCAATATTGCAAGATTAAAAAAAATCTGACAGATAAAAAGTCGTAATGTGAAATAAGGTCATATTGTGAATACAGTCGCAATAATGTGAAATAAAAGTCAATAAAATATATTTTTTTTTAAATAAATAATTTGCAATTGATATATAAAGTTGAAATAGTCATTATACAGTATCTTTTTTTTGTCCGAGAAGGAAAACTTTTAAATCACAGTAATTGCTATTTTTTTTATTTTAAAAATGAAAGGAACTTAAATAACCTGGTATGCTAATGCACATTTGTGTCAAATAAAGCACTTTAACAATGATTAAATTCAAAATATAGCACAACCTTAAGTGCCTTACTGCTTTTATAACTGTTACATAACAAAACAATTTTTTCATTCATAAAATATTTATGTAGCTAGAATATGCCTGATAAATGCTAACATCAACACTGTAAAAACTGATTTTTTAAAATTACGTTTAATTCAAAGTGTTGCTTGTCATTTCTTATTTCAAGTTAGTAGTAATTTCAGTTACACTTTGTTTTTAAGGTCCAATTCTCGCCATTAACAAATCATTAACTACGACTTTTGCCTCAATAAACTCCTAATTTGCTGCTTATTAATAGTTAGTAAGGTAGTTGTTAAGTTTAGGTATTGGGTAGGATTAGGGATGTAGAATATGGTCATGCAGAATATGTGCTTTACAAACACTAATAAACAGGCAATATGTTAATAATAGGCATGGTAACAAGCAACTTCTTAATAGTGAGGACTGGTCCCTATACTAAAGTGTTATCATGATTTCTAAATGAAAAAAGGTTCTACAGCAATATTTTTGAGTGTATGGGTGCAGTGCAGTGATATACATGGCAGCTAAATGAACAGGCATTTTGCATCATAGCTAATATTGCATATTTTAGCATGGCTGGAATAATGTATTGACTAATTTGTAACGTAAATTACCTGTAGTAATTATAAATGACTTGTTACTTCCCCAACGCTGATATTTTTCAGCTTCTGTGAAAGCTGAACTGGATTTATATATACACACACACACACTCAGTGTATCCTGTGTTTACGCCTCACACTGCGGAGGGTGAAACCGTAGTTCATTCTTGTTTGGCCCGGTGGATGTCATTGGCTCTGTGAATGAGCAAATCCATCAAACACAGTTCATTTGAAATGAAGCTAATGTAACTATCCAAGCATGAAGTTACACTGCAATAAAATCAATACGGACCGTGGTTGGAGTGTGTTTCTGTTTGGAAATATGAACTCGAGGATAAAAAAGACAACAATGTAGAAACTCTATGATGCCGGTACATCCCCCTTTGGCTAAATTACACATTTAAATCACAGTATTTGTGTGTGCGCTGTGATTTACTGGCAGTCTTACTGAGGTCCCAGCATTCCCTCTCACTGACTAACTCGGGTCAGTGATCTAATGGTCATGACAGTATCTGAGCTGTACTGCATCTTGAAAGAATCCAATTCTAATAGTACCATCCAAAATCTATTAAGCATTTCTCAAGTGCTCTCTCTTTATTGTGACATAGCTGCACCTGTTATATCTTACACAGAGTGGTCTTAAAGGGACAGTACAGTCAAAAATAAAAAATACTCATCCTCATGTCGTTACAAACATGTATGATTTTTATCTTCTCTGAAACACACACATACATAAAATCATAAAAACAGTCCATACTGGTTTTTAAAAAGATATGAGGGTGAGTAAATAATAAGGGGATTTTATTTTGGGGGAGTAAACCATCCCTTTAAATCACCTTCAGATCTATACTAACCCATTAAATTGTTTGTTTGCATGTTTGTAATAAATAAATCTCAGCTGATTGTCAGCTGTTTATCTTCTACAATGTGATTAGTGTCCTGAAATTGGGCTGGTCTACACACAAACAGAGCTGCTGTTGTTGTAAATGCACTTAGAGACACTGCTGACCAGAATTAGGCTTAGGTTCAAGATTAGATGTAGATTTGCGATCATATTCCATTTAGGAATCATGAGATTTAGATGCACAGCATTAGGTTAAGATTAGGTTTATGATTAATACTAGAGATCTGTATAGGTTTATGATTATTGGTTGGATTTAGGGTTGAGGACATTGAGGATTATGGTTTTGTTTGGAGTGAGTCATCTGCTGGCATTACTCAATTCCCACAGAGATATATAAAAAACAAAAATCACTCACTGCGTCTTCTCTATAAACTCATCCCTATCATCACTCAGAGGGCTATGCAGATTATGTTTTAAAATGTACTGAACATTTGAGATTTGAGACTTGAGTCAAAAGCCATGGATTTCAATATCTTAAAGCTGACTGATCCAAGGCTATATAACCTCTCATTTGTGTGACGTTTAGAAACGCTTTATTAATTTCTTTATCTTAAAGGAACAGTTTATACAAATTCTACAAAAGTAAAAAAAAAAAAAAAAAAAGGACTACAAAAGTCATATGGACTACAAAAATGGTGTTTAATTTGTTACCAAACATAAATGTCATTGACTCCAAATTTAAACTTAAAGAGGAAGGGAAGATTTTCAATGAAAATCTTGAGGGTGAATAAATGATGTCTGAATTTTCATCTTTGGATGAACCATTCCTTAAAATCTAAAACACACATTCACAAATATCTTACTGTACCTGCTTTCTCTTTACTGCTATACACAAAAAACATTTTTACCACTCTATGAGCGTGTGTCCTACTTACATCTTTTTTTCAGTCTTCACTTAGCCCACCCCATCTCTCTCTTTCATTTCGCCTCTCTGTTTGGTGATGAATTGTCCCTGGTCTCCAGGAATGGATCTGTTAATAATTCAGACCAGATCATAGCATTGACCATTAGAGCCGGGAGGCAGAACTTTCAGCTGCCTGATAGATCACTAATCAGATTAATCGCTGTCTTTCAGTGGGAAATGGAACAGAGTGAGGGACCATGCCGCGCATGGTAATATACTGGACCTTCTAGAACACTTCACCAGCAGACGCTTTCAATTACGGCAAGCAACCACCTACAGCTTGAGAGAACATTACCCATGTTTGAGTATTCAAGCAGCAATCCTAACATTAGCCCAACACAGTGAAAATATCATCCCGATAGATGTGCGTCACACCAGATGCGCTTGAGTAATTTGTGTACCGATGGATGAGACTAATACCTGTTCCAGGCAAAAACATATACATCACTGTAGCTCAGATACACTAGTCGGAACGTCATACAATTAAACTTGATCATCAGTACATTCAAATCATGCTCCCCAGGAGTAATTTGACTCTAATTGAAGTGTTCTGAGGCTCAAGTAAGTATGTATTTTTTTTCCCAGCTGAGCTCAAGAACACAGGTCATTTATATCAAGGTCATTATATTTCATTTCACCTGAGCTTAACATTGATTTCCCTGTAAAACTATTTGACTGTTTTCTGGCTTCACATACAGATGTTACCAGCGGTAGCGGCTAATGACAAAGTCATGAGTTTGGTGGGGTTTTGTTTGTGTCCGACTGAGCTGATGCCAGTTAAATTACACAAATTAAGAGTTCACCATGGTGTGGAAATATTGATTAGTCACAGTCTGCTGTGCGTCCCGTATATACTCACGCATTGATTAACAGATTATACAAACATCCAGCACTACTTAGTTCACCCAAGAAGTGCAAATTCTGTCACTATTTACTCATGTCTTATCCAACCCCCACAACAAAAATAAACATGTTTATTGTTTCACGTGTAATATTAAGGAAGTCGTTTGTAGGCATAAAAGTAGTCTATAGATA